TCGGTCTCCAATCTGCCCTATTTGGGCAAAATAATTGAGAGGGCTGTGGCAATTCAACTACAGAGCTTTTTGGATGACACTTCCATTCTAGATCCTTTCTACCATCTCCGGCTGATTAGGCAGTTGGTTCTCTTCCTCGAATGCAACGACTTGGCGACAGTGATTCATGTGATGGTCACCTCGAGATTGGACTACTGTAATGCTCTCTACATGGGGCTGCCCTTGACCCAAATCCAGAAGCTACACCTAGTGCAAAATGCTGCAGCCAGGCTTCTGATGGGCCTCCCTATGCCGGACAACATTCAGCCTGTGATGAAAGCACTGCACTGGCTGCCGATAGCATACCAAATTTGCTTCAAGGTGCTGGTACTTACCTTTAAAGCCTTTTATGGTCAGGGGCCACATACCTGAGATAATGTTTTTCCCCACATGCTCCCCAGAGAGCACTGCGCTCAGGGTCACAAAATCGATTGGCCTCCCAGGTCCTAAAGGTGCCAGGCTGGCCACAACCAGGGCCAGGGCCTTCTCAGTGGTGGCTCCGTACTGGTGGAATGAGCTCCCAGAAGAGATCAGGGCCCTCGGGACCTTTTACATTTCCACAGGGCCTGCAAGATGGAGCTCTTCCACCAGACCTTTGACTAAGGAGCCGCACCAAATAACATCAAATAACTGAGAAGTGACAGTGCCCTGGTCCTTGGCTTGCCACCAACACCCTGTGCTGTTGCCTAAATATAGAGACCAAGACGAGCCAACCACCAATACAGATCATCTGATTACAACACTAGCATTGGTTCTGCCTTCTGCAAGCATTCTTATAACTACTTGATCACTTACTAGCACTTTATGATAATGCAGAGTTTTATTATTTGTTTTAAGATTGTATATAATTTGTTACCTATATGTTTAATCTCTTTGTAAGCCGCCCTGAGCCCGCTCCAGCGGGGAGGGCAAGGTATAAATTGAATGAATGAATGAATGAATGAATTAATTAAGTTATTCACGAACTCTTTCGTTTCTCAACAGTTTTCTGCACTGCATCCACAAGCATTTTCCCCTTGTTCTCTTCTTCCATTGCTTTCTCAACTCCTTCTAGCATGAGCTGTGCCATGTTGGATCCCACAATATCCATCACATCTACTTTCATTGTCTCATGTTTTAAGAGGCTAATTATGTTTCTATACTTTGTGGAAGATTTCACCCAATCATTTTTACTCTTAGGAACAAAGTCCTTAAAGTACTAAACTGAAAACAATCTGTCTTTTCACTGGGAAGTCATCATGTTTCCCCAAAGGTGCAGTAATGAAAATGGAAAAACACAAACTGTATTCACAAAAATCAAAGAAATACTGATTTTTTAAAAGAACGGACAAATTCCTGACCAAGATGAAAAAACCGACTTTTACTGATTTTACTGACAATTTCCCACCCCTGAGTTTACAACCTATCACAAGTAACACAGTAGAACCCCTGTAATGTATTCAGCCTGACATGCCCAGACTTGCCCGGGCTGGCCAGGCACAATCCCTCAATAGCTTCAAGTCTAAAGACAATGGGTCCGTAGGATCCTAGCCGGCCCAATGAAAGGGCTAGGTCCCAAGCCGGGAGGCCAATGGGTCTCTCGGTTACTGTAAATAGCCTATCGGGAGTAGGG